CGGCAGAAGTGCTCTTAAATTAATTCATTGTCCTCGAATTATTTTATCTGCCTTCGAACTTTTTTGTTCCTAATTTATGCATTAAAAAGCATTGTACCAATGTACTAAATCATTAAATTAAAATAGTTTATATATTACCGTTATGAAACTATCGAACGAATATAATGTTGTTGCACTGAAAAGAAACTGTAATTAGTTTTCAATTATGATATCAAAACTTCAGAAGCGGAATGGCAACCAACCAGTGCAACAGTAAATAAATTAACTAACATTTCTAATATCCTATTGTGAAACACTGATCTAGGCTAAAACAGTCATTGAGCAGGTCAAGTTATTTTTTTATTAGATTATTATGAAAAGGATATACGTTACAAATGATGGACATTTTAATGATTGAATCATTAAAAGCTTAAAAAGCCGAGGTATTAGTAACAGATTAATAACCTGCATTGAATATGACGTATTAAAATTCTTAACGAATGACAAGATGAAATCTGCAAGTCTAAAATCTTTCATTCAGAAGCATATTGCATATTCAGGTAACCAACAACCGGAATACGAGTAAGCCCTTATTATACGGGAAGCCGCTAAGCAGATTTATTGGCGTTAGTTGCCTCTTTTAATGTTCCATTAGTGACTGTGCCGACCAGCTAAATTATCGTTTGCTCCCCAATCCGGAAATAATGAAATGGTGATTTCCAAATAAATATTTATAGTCCATTTTGATAGTGACACAGCTGTAGTTTAGTTTAATTACGATGAAAGTTGGTCCGTCCTTTTTTTATTGATAACTTCTGTAAAACGATTCACATTTTGCTACATGAAAGAACCATAAAAAGATGAATAATGTTACGTAACAGGAAGGAATTATCTCTCAGAAGTTGTCACGGTAAAAGTCGGTATGGATGATGTCACGTGACCAATCAGATGTCTCTGAGCTCTTGATGTCCTTATTGGTTAATATTTCATATATTTCGTGGCCAATTACGTTTCTCGATCATCTCATACATGTCTGTATTTAGTCCCTTGGTGGCGAGCTAATGACATCGTTGGCGATTTCTCCGAAAACAATGAATGAAAAGTGCGTGTGAAATAAACATTGCAATTGCCTATTTTGCAGGGTCAACATCTGGTGCAGTCCTGATTTTGATTTGTTTCTTCTGCTTTTACTAATGGTTTCATTGTGTATATGAAATATTATAACATTCTATTTACTAAAAGTTCTTACATATTTTATGCAATTTTAATGGTGAGGAAGACTCGCAAATCATTTATTCTATGGGGGATCCCGGCAAACTAAACGATAGCAAGCTTTATGTTTCAGAATATCCATATTTTCATAATAAGTCCAATGACGTTTATGAGAAACATTTTATTTACTTCTTTATTTATTAGATGTTTAAATTATTTATTTATTTTTACATAATTCAAGAATATGCAATTTTCGAAGCATTGTCCAAACAGTACGTAATTTGTGTAAGAAGTAAACTCTATTATTTTCTAGTATGTCCCATTTGTGTAAATAGTAATAGCAAATAACACAAATAGAGCAATATGCACCAACCTTTTTTACATTGGAGTTTATGTATAAGGATGAAATAATCTTTGATAAACTTTAAAATATTATCTTGGACTTACTAGCTTTTTTTTGTCACAGTTTGATTAAGCCAAAATCAGGAAAACTTGTAAGCATTCCTTAGATACCATGTATTCTAAAAAGGACCCATGGTTAGAAAATTTAATCAAAGAAAAACGGAGTTAAAAATGTACAGTTTGCTCGGTTCAGCTTTTCCAGAGAATTCAATTTGCACCACGTTACGAATTTCTTTAACAGATGGATTGAGAAATCTGTAAAATCTTTCTTTTCTGCTATTTATCAGATCAATCAAAATATTTGCACTCGAGAGTTAGTTAATTTTGTCCCCTGACAGTGCCACATTATTGTTCTGCAAATGATAATGCATAATATATTGAATTCTGATTAAATACATTAAATATTGTAACGTACAGATGATAATTTCAAAATACATTATATTCAAAACTACTTTTGTACTTTAATTTTTAACCATGTGTGTTTATCAGTATTAAAGGGTCATTGCATTAATTCAATGCTATAAATACATATTTCCGAAGAGGAAAACGATCACTTTTTATTATTTGAAATTATACTTTGTTTCATGCAACCAAGTTGTTTATTTAAGCATGGTTGCTTATTGAAATATGTTTTTATTATTATTTTTTATTATTATCTGAGTTTGGTTCTTTGTCCAAACAGGTCACTAGTATACCCTCCAAAATATGTTTTTTTAATCAATTTATACATTATTATTATTAGTTGTAATAGTATAAATTTGCAATTAAATAAGTAATTTATCATTCAATGAAACTTTAAGCCGTTTTATTTTAATTTCGTTTAAGGAAAAGAAAAACTTAAGGACCCAGTTTTGGCAAACTTTCCCTTAAATATAATTTAACCGTTAAAAAATTGTTTGTCTGTCTCCTGTTGTACAATTTAAGCTATTAAAATGAAAAATTTTAAAATCTTAACCGCTTTCAACTCACTTGTTGAAACTACAATATTAAGATACAACGAAAAATGCGTCTTTTTCAATTAAGGAAATTACTTTTAAATTCGACTTAAAATATCCTTTAAAAACCTATTAAAAATATTACCAGTTTTTAACGAACTGAAACTGATAAACTTCGATCAAATTATCGATATCACTCCATCATGTTAATGCATTAACGAAACATTTCGAGGAAAAAAAGTTTTTTTTTCTAGGTCACGCAGATTTAAAACATAATATTACAAATAATCACAGAGAAAAAAGTTACACTATTAAATTCACAATATCCTGCAAATAATACGCCTGTCTGCATAAATCAGTTTCTGGAAATCAGCATGCAAAGCTGATTTTTGTTGCAGATAGTACAATATATCTGTTTCTGTTAATAATCTTTTGTAGAAGAGAAGTACAAAAGACTGTTTTTGTCGTACTTTTTGATCGATCTAATTGCCTTTGTGTGGTTTACTTCCAAAAACATTATTTGATGTTAATGTACAATTTTCCATAAACACACCGTCAATTGGATGCTAAATGCGTTTATTCCATTCGTAAATTAACTTTACTCTCCACAATTTTCATTGGTTAACATACGAGCAAACGATTTTCTTTATTTGTGAATTGTCGCAAAATTATCGTCAAATTTTCTGGGCAATGTGTTATTCAATCGATCTGGTGTGTGCTTATAGCTTTGTTCTTGCTTACAAATGAATTGTAAGGTTTTAGTGACAGGAACGGTAAGTTCCAGCTATTGGATAACTTCTCATTCTAAAGAAATGAAAAAGGCATTGATTGGTCATTTTGTGATTTGTTTATCGCTTACAAGTGAATGGAAGTATACGCTTTTAGTATATTATTAATTTCTGTACTAGCTTTTCAAATTTTAAGCAAACAATTTTTATAAGTGGCCAAAATATTTCGAATGCAAGTGATGTTGTTATCGTTAGTTTTTGGATCAACAAAGCAATTTAAAAGTGTTTTCGTATGTTTTTTCGACCGTTTAGAAAAAACTTTCGCAAGTTTTTTTATTTATTTTTTATTTTTATTTTTAGAGAACAATAAATAATAGGGGAAATATGGATAAGAAGATTCATAAATTTTATTTATTTCAAATATTTTTAAATATTAGAATAGGATAATTAGATTAGGTTAGGTTAAATTAGATGAGAGTTATAGATATTTGATTGGGTTAAATATTAGTTTGAAACCAATTAAAAGCTGATTTCACGGAGGATATAAGTAACATTTCTGAAAAAAATTTTGATTTTTTGGGGGAAAGTTCTAATTTTAGTCATATTTAACTATGCAACATTCAATTATTTTGAGTTTGAAACCTCAGACTATTTTTTGGAATGGCAGAGGGATTTAAGTGCAAGTGCCAATAACGAGTTAACTATGCTAATTTCAGAAAATCTATTATTTGACACCAAATTAAAACGCCAAGAATGCGAATGCCATGAAACAAACATCTTATCCTTCTCTGTCGGCTTCGCATCTCATAAGTTCGGCGGTTTTGTGCCTGTGTGGTCAGCGTCGCATGCTATGTAACGAAGTGAAAGATTTCATCATTAAAATTGAATTCGTCACAAATTTCCCTTCTCTTTAAATCCTGAGATTATTTTTGTATTTCTGAATATTGCCATGAGATGGAGCAACTAGTCTCCCTTTCTTCACAATTTTCGCAGTGAAATTCCCCCCCTTGAATTGAAATCAAAATCATTTTGCACTTGCTATAATTTTGCTTTCATTAGTGTTACCGTTGCATGTCCCAATAGTCAGTCAAAATAGTTGTGCTTTTTACTCACTGATGTCTAGGACTATAGCTATTTTAACAGTAAGTTTGGAAAATTATTTTCCAAAATATTTTTTACCTAATATTAATATCTATTTTAGTCATTAATAATTATTTTACCTAATATTAATAATTATTTTTAATAAATTTTTATTTTTTTGCCTAATAATAATATAGTCTTAAATATCATCAACAGATGGCGCCGCTAACTGAGATAAACTATAATATAATGTAACGACCATTTGCAGCAACATCGCGATTCATACCGTGAACAAAATTAATGAAAGCTAGCGAAAATATTTCAGTCGAAACGGTTTGACATGCAGCAGAGAATATTGTATACTCTTTTGCAATCAGATTCGCCATCTGTCGACAAACTTAATAACTAAATTTGAAATTTTACATGAAATTTTTTTTATTTTTCAAACTGTACATTAAGATCTCTTTACGTTTTTTTTAAATTGCTAAGTTAGGGATACCCGATAAATTCATTCATTTTTGCGTTTTTAGCCTCAATTTTTAACTCTGACGGACAATAATTGAAGATTTTAGCGTAGTATAGTGACTTGAACACGTTTCTTTTGGTTAGTTCCGCATTGCATTCAGATATTTAGAATGGAGTGTATTAACTAATAATGACTTACATGTCCTTGCTTGTCCATCTCATTATTCGTGAGCTTGACCTTTTCGAAGGAAACTACTTGTTTCTTGAGCTGATCACCCGTGAATGGGGAATCTGGATGTAAATATAATCTAGATGGTGATGGTGGATCCGCCTTACCGGCCACCAGCCATGAAGACCGATGGTACGCGTATCGGTACCTTTTATTATCTACAGGCACAATGTCCATGAGAACGGCGTATTTGGCGTGTGGATCTGCTCCAGAAAAAGATGCCCTTACTGTAGGAAACATCCGCCTAAAATACAAAGTTGAGAATTAATGAAATGAAAATGATGAATTATAATTAAACATAAAAACATACTGAATTGTGGTATGTTATAAATATAATACGCAAAGAATCAGTGGTAACTTGATGACTCTTGAAACAATGACATGAAATTAATCTATTTTAATCGTCTATTAAAATTTGTTTTTATACTAGTGGAACTTTATCACTCATTGGGATGTATAGCTTATGCATGTATGTGTATGGCTTTTACTACTTGTCTTACTTACCTACATTTTTTACGTAGATGAATAAGTTTTTTTTAAGAACGAACTTTGGTATAAAAATTATTTTGACATCTGTCTTTTGAATTGAAAAATAATTAAATTAATTATTTTGCATTCAAAGCAGTCTTTACTATGTGGTAAATATCAAATAGATAGAAATAACTAGAGTCACTGAATGTATTATAGTGACTTTAAACTATATATTATGCCTTTAGATACTATACAGATTATGATATATATATAGATTTTGATACATACACATACATTACGATAAATATGTATAGATTATGATACATATATATAGATTATGATATATATAGACTTTGTAGCATACAGATTATGCACAGAGAGTGTATCTTTATACAGAACAGGGAGCGCAAAAAAGCTCGGCCAAAGCCATTGCGTCATAGAATATAAATTAATTAATTTCTTTTTAAGTTGTGAGTTTATTTCCTTTTGTCCGCCACTTTAATTAGAATTTTTTTAAAATTATATCTTGTAAATTGTGTGTTGTTTTCTGACTTATTCATAATATCAAGCAAAAAATTTGAAATTTTAGAGTTGTTTAAGCAAGCAAAATGACAGTGTGGAAGCAAAACAAGCAAAATGACAGTGCGTTTGTCGTGAAATTGTCGCTTCGACAACCTGCACTAAAACACACAAACGTTTGTATTCTCAAAAGCAATCTCTTTTGCGGAAATAGGATAGATTAAAGATCTTGCAGCTAATTGCTTTCAATAAGCATTTGCGCCTCTGCATCGTTGCAAAAGGCGGCCACTTTGAAACAAAAAACCAGTAGAAGTTTACTCTTATTATTATTTTTTATATTTTGTTTATTTACCTATTTTTAATAAAGTTACATTAAAGAATTTTTGTCCTGGATTTTTTGTCACCTCCTTTATATGGTAAATATAAAACATGAACTATCCGTAAATGTAAATTTGACATCACAGTGACTTTTTGCTGGTCTTAAAGTGTATAGATTATGATACGCGAAAATTTCTGGGTTTTTCGTAATCATCGCCTGTAACATATACATTTTAAAATGATTGTTAAAACTGAAATAATAAAAATCTACACACTGGATTGGATTTAGATGTAGTATTATGAAAAGTTGACTAGTTGTCCATTATGACGTAATTAAAATCATCAAAGAGAAGTTAATTCATCGCAATGGTTCCTAACAAAAGGAAAAAGACTCTCAGTTCTATATGATAAACTAAATGGGTTTTTATGGTTTCATTTCCATGTCTGCTTTGATGAATCTCAATAATGACTAATCAGTATTCTAAAAATATTACGGAGAATTAGGCACAACTGCAATAATGAATCAAAATACGAGATGTTATTCAAAACAGAGATTGAATCATTCACTATCTGTAGAAATTAGAGAACTTGGTCAGTTTAAATCGTATTTTTGTCTCGAGAACTTTCTCAAAAACAGAATTTTGTGCATGACACTATATACTTCTTTTCTTCCGGGGTCGATCGACGATTTATGCACAGAACAAGCTCATTATTATAATTCATACACACTTCGAATAAAATTAGCATGACGTTATGCTAATGTCCAGCTCCAAAAGTTCTTCATTTTTCTTCCCGGCCGACAAAGACTAAAGGGTGTAACATTTCCTGGGGGCGTAGATCACGCAAGAAAGTCGCCCCTAAAATTCTTCTAAGCTCATCCCGCCTCTTGGTCCCACAGAAAAGGCCTGTTTTCAGGAGTTCAAACACAAAGTGCGTGTTGCACGCGAAGATTCTTTTAGAAAGAGTAGAGTTTAGTTGTCTCGCGTGATCACGCCTGAGCTAGTTCTCTCCCTTTCTTGATGTGGATGTGTGATAAGGAGCGATAAGTGTTAAAAGTAACGGGCTCGATACCCGAGAGGGGCACTTAATAGTGATGAATTAGTTACTAAATTGGAAGAATGGGAATTGAGAAATATGAGTAAAGGGGAAAAAAAGGAAATTGAAATAAAATGAACTTGGTTTTGTTAAGGATTCTTTCTTGTAATGTAATTTAAATTTAATGTTTTTTTTCTTTATTCTATTAAATTTCATTTTACGAATTTGATGCAAAATTTTTAGGTTTTGACATTTTATTTGTTTATTTATTTTTTTGAAGGAAAAGGTTTAGACTGTTCTTCAAATCATTCATTGTTATCAAATAATAATGTTTTTATATTTTATTTTATTTCGTAACCGTCGTTGAACAGCCGACTCAAGCTTTTGAGAAAATAATGTTTTATCGAAAATAATTGGCTATTTTTATAACTGTTGTGATTTAGTAACATTTATTCATGGCTGATATTTTGTTCATACCTAGATTAATTACGAAAAGGTCAAATTTTGTCAATAAATCACAGTTTTGTAAAAATGAACATTATTAGTGATTGTGGTGCAACTTTTTTAACATCCGAAAAGTTGTTCAAAAGTTGTATTATTCGGCTCAAAATGCAAAAAAAAAAGGAAAAAAAATTGAGAATTATACATACTGCAATTTTGTTGCTTATTTTGAAAGTTTAAATTCTTTAAATACATAAAAAAAATTTCTCATTAAGTATTTGGATTGTACAGACAAATCTTTCGTTCAAGATAATTTATATAGCTTAAAATTAGAGCTTTGTTTCGAATTTAACACTTTCAAACTGTTTTTTTTCTCTTATTTTTTTCTTTGGCAAAACATCTTCATAAACGCGTTTGAGCTGTTCCATCGTCTTGTTTCAAACGTGACGCAGGAAAATAATTAAGATAATAAGAAAATATTTCGTAAATATGCTATTATTGTTTTTAAGGACTCTTGCACAAGCCGAGTTCACCAGTCATCGGCTTTTTTGAGAATTAAATCGAGAAGGTGTGCCTTTCGCTTGACAAGAGAGCACCGCAGAGGTAAAAGTGCGTCTTATCTCAGAACCCAGCAGGTAGGTAGCAGCACCATTTATTCGTGAGGCCCTTTCTTCAATTTAGACATAGATCTGAAGGGGAAGGGAATTTTCTCCAGAAAATCTGCACCATGTTCAGCGACCGACCACAGGATTTTCGATTATAAAGATTTTACGAGCGCGTATAGAGCATGTAGGCGGTGGGTCTTAGCGGAGTCGAAGATCGAGCCCACCCTCTCCCGACCGGACACCGATTCTCTAATCTCTGAGCTACCACGGCTCTGTAGAGGGTTTTTAGTCTTAATAAAAAAATGAGGAAACGTAAAAAAATTATTCACATTCATAAAAACTATATAAAATATTAACTTCAGACTGTCCCTACGATACGGAATTACTCGATTACTGATTTTGCATACTTTAATCAGATGCACGTTTTAATAAAGTTGAATTATCAAAATATGGTGCAACGAATTACAAATATTTTGTCAAAGGACAAATAAATCTGATAATAGTCCTTATTTTTATTAAAATTTCTCAAGTGATCAAAAAGTTAAAAATAGCTTTCCGCACTAATATTTTTTGATTATAATTCATTTAAAAAAATAATCGCAATGATGACGTAGAAAATTAATTTTATTTTTATGGCAGCCATTATTAATAGCTTTTTGCTTCTTGTGAATACAAAAATCAATATTCCTTTCCACGTGTTTCACTATGACTTAGAGTTGTGTGAAATGAAAATAGAACAAAATACTTCTCTTGTTTTGTTGGAAATGGCTGTACAAGCTCTGGAATTTCGAGTCGCTGAGAAGAGAAAAACGAAATTGAAATATTTTTCTCCCTTTTCTCAAAATAATGTTCAATAAAAAAAATAAATAAATAAAAAAAAACAAGATGCTAACGTTGACGCGATTTCAAAGTTTTTCAATTTAGTTTCTCCCCCAAAAGTTATTTTCAAAAGAAATTGATTTGGGGGCAAAACATGGTAAAGTGTTAAGAAAAAGGTAGGGCAAAGCTTGTTTGTTATTGATGTTTTTGTTATAAGTGCTTTATAAGGTCTTGCCTTCTTCTTCCAAATACATTTGTAAGTTTCCTAAGGGTATTTTCTCTTGAAAATGGTTTACACATATTTCGGGATGCTGTTCTATATTTTAGAACGAAAAATCAATCAAGTCATACTGTGTTTCTCAGTTTCGACATTTACTGCATATAGTCATTATGTTTTAATAATAAATTGAAACTAGTTTATGCGCATTTATTAAATCAAATTTTGTGTTATAAAATACAATAATATGGATCTACTATTAAGATCGTTGAAAGTTTCAATGGATATTATGGCTTAAAAGGCTTTCCAGGGAAAAATTAAGCAATTTTGCAACTTGCGTGCGGCGAGTTCTACCATTTTTGACTGTAAACACTTTTTTTCAAAAATTGAAAATTTTAAACTATTATCAAAACTGCTGATGTTAATAATGTAAGGCATTTCTTTTGAAGCTTACTAGGTTGGTATACATTACAAGTTTTATTCCTAAAATGAAGAAAATTTTAAGAAACAAGCGTGAAATAAAATAATTTTCAGATTAGAAAATTTTCATAATAATTTCATATTTGTTTAGCAATAATAATAATTAAAAAATGGACAAATGGTGCATTTTCGGCGAATAAAGTGGCGATCGAGTGATGATTGGCAGACAATTTCTTGATCGCCATTCATGATATTCCGTCGCCCTGTGGCTTGTGGTAATTGTTTTCCGAAGGCCTCGTCGTCGTATAAAATGATGCTTTTTTACGAATAATATGCTATTTTCATAACTGCTGTGAGTTTACAACAGTTACTCATGACTGTTAGAACAATTTTATCTAA